AAAAAAAAAAAAAAATTGGGCGGTGCCTGTGGCTCAAAGGAGTAGGGCACCGGCCCCATATGCTGGAGGTGGTGGGTTCAAACCCAGAACCAGCCAAAAACTGTAAAAAAAGAAAGAAGTAAAGTACATGTTTACAGACTAGAGTGTGTGGTGCAAATGTTGCAGTGTGCTTTCCGTTTTCATAAATAAAGCTTTTTGGGAGCATGGCCAAACCCATTGTTTATGTATCATATGGGGCTGCTTTTGCACCACACTGGCAAAGTCAAGCATCCACAGAAAGACCACATGGCCCACAAAGATTAAAATACTGTCTGGCCATTTACAGAAAAAGTTCGCCACCACTGTCTTGGAAGAAGTTAAGATTTCAAAATGTGGCCTTGGGTGGACAGTGAAAGATGATGGGTGACGAGAGATGGGTGGAATAGATTGGGGGTTGGGAGTGGGAGATGCCACAACCACAGTCCCTTCCCTGGGAAGGAGGCTGTGAGGTGATTCAATTTGTAAGCAGTACAAGGACTAGGACAGGTCCACATATTTGAGCAGATGTGCTCAGGGGAAGATTGGTGCTGCCTGGTGAAGGCAAAGGCCAAAAACATAGTTGGAACATATATAAGGAGGAAAGGTGCCCTCTGTCACGCGTGACACAGAAGACTGGAGACAGCAACTATTCCCCTGGAGAACATTTTATACGTCTATTTATATGTATCATGCCTGTATACAGTTCCAAATTTTGTCTGGCCAAAGAAATGGCAGAATTACAAATGTAAGACCATCACAGAGTCCTAGACAAATCCAGCAAAACCCTACAAACCACCAGATGGCACAGGCAAGGAGGGGATATTTTGGATTCCCTGAGATTACTTAGTTTCCCTCTCTGGCTATCTCCCCAACCTTCTGATTTACAATTTGCTTCTCCCTAGAAGAGCATTCCCTTTACCCTCCCCTAGGAAAGCAGCAGCTGTGATACACTTTACTTTATAGCAACACTGGGGCCTGCAAGGAGAAGCTGTTTGGGTGATCATTGCAGACACAGCACATTTACCTAAGGTCCCACACAGACAGAATGGCTCCCTCAGCTAAGCACTTTAGTTGAATTCCCAGAAAGCATGTAAAAAAGAAAACAGCAATTTTATGCTGCATGTCTGGGTAGATTTCAAGGGGCAAGTCTTCATTTACCTGCCAGCCAAGGGACCCCTGTCTCTATCAGATGGCTGGCTTCATCGTGGTGGCTCCAGAACCCCACAGCTGCTGCCAGGACTCCACTGGGCCCTCCCTCTTCTTTCCCAGCTCTCCTCCCTGCCTCAGGGTCTGGCAGCTTCTGCAGCAGCATCTACTAACTGAAGCAACAGTGGTGGTGGCAGTGGTAGCAGCAACAGTGTGTCCCAGGCTCTAGGCACCTAAGGTTAAGCCCCTAAAATTCCAAATGGGAAAATGCCAACAACACAGGCAATGGTATTTATGGACAAACTGCTCTCTGGTCCAGATCTCTGCGGCAAGGAAAAAAGGAGAGCAGACTGGCCATTTCCCCTGGCTTTCCCTGGCTCTGGAGTCAGCTTCAGCCTGGTAGGTGCCCCATAAACGCTCCTCCAGAGAGGTAAATGAGGGAACTTTGAAAGCCTAGGACAAGAGGTGGCTTTGGAGCCAACCCTATCCGAGAGCAGAGGAGAAAGTCTCATGGACACACAGCCACACAGCTGGGAGCCCAGCTGTCAATATGCATTTTTTTCTCTACTCATACAGGTTCCTCTCCCTCATTTTGCCCAATCACAGTCTTGAGCTCCATACCACACCACCTCCACAGGGGCGGGCACATATCTCTTCCATCCATAATAGCTAAGCAGGACAAGTCCAGTCTACAGGATCCTAGTACTGGTGCTGAATAGTGGAGGTGGCAGGTGGGAGAGTCCTTGATTCACATGGAATGAAATAGCACATTCTTGATGTTTCCAAAAGGTCATGTTAATGCTCATTGTGCTAGAGAGCCAGAGAAGACTTTTAAAAGGCAAGAGGAGACCACAGTGTACCGTGGGGTCAACAGGCCAGCTGGGCTGAGAAAGGAGGACAGGAGAGAGAAGAAAGGCAGGCAGTCTTCCTGGGCAGCAGCAGGGGCCATGGCAGCTGCCAGCACTGCCCACATACACTAGATCTTTCAATCCTTACCACAAGAATTCCTGGGAAAGAGATGGTAATATTTCTTTAGAGGTGAGGAAATGGGCTCAGAAATTCAGTGACTTGCCTACAGTCACACAGCTTTTCTCTCTCCCCACCCCACTGTGTCACCCAAGCTAGAGTGCAGTGGCATGATCACAGATCACTGCAACTTCAAACTCCTGGGTTCAAGTGATCCTCCTGCCTTAGCCTCCCAAGTAGCTAGGACTACAGGTGCATATCCCCACAACCAGTTAATTTTTCAATTTTTTGTAGAGAGGGGGTCTTGCTCTTGCTCAGGCTGTCACATAGCTTTTATGTGGTGCCACCAGGGTGAGAACCAGTTTTGTCCAATTGTAATACATGTTCTCCACATCCATGCTTCTTTATGTTGACATGTTATCTGTAAAACTCTGGAAAAACAGATCTCTGATGAGTCATCCCAAAACAAATCTCACCTAAAATGGGGCCTCCTCACGACTTCACTACAGAAAGGGAAGGCCACTCTGACAAAGCAAAAGTTCTGGCCTCTGTCCTGAGAGAACAGGCTTGATACTTGGCTGCGATACTCTCCACCCTATGTCACCTCTTATAACTTAGCCTTCATCCCATAGAGCTGTAGACACAGACCACCCTTCCTTAAACCTCTATTGTAGTCCTTCATCCCTTAGCAGCCCTCCTAAGACTTGCCTGCTGTTCAGACTTTCCAAATCAGAGCATTACTGCTCCCCTATCCAACATCCCTCACTACCAAGGTCAGCTCTGAGACTGTCTTCATCTGCCATCAAATGCCATTGGTCTGATGAAAGGGCAGCCAGATCCCTCTGAAGGAACCAAGGGACCAAGGGCCATCATAACTCTACTATGACCTTGTCCAAAGGTGCCTGGCAGTTCCCAATGCCAGTAACATCATAGGTACAAAGTCCTACTAGAAATCCCAAGGCAGAGGTCCCTGGACTAATGAGAACAGAAGGATTCCCAGTACCCAGCCTGCAAGGAATCTAGATCTGGAAAGGGTATTCTTTGTAGAAATGGATGAAGTATGACTATGAATTTAAAAAGTAGTTACTGTTAGTCACATATCAAACTCTGCCTAAATGCCTCAGTCACAGAGCAAGCAAGTGAAGTGGGTATAAAAGGGTGCATCCCCCAAGATATTTTCCTGTTATTCCTATGGTTCCTGTCTCTCTCATGTACAATTCTGAATTCTTGCTTGTGAGAGGGAAAAGGATTCTCAGACATATAATCTTTTTTTTTTTTTTTTTTTT